TTGCTGCCTTCAGTTTCCTTTCTATAAGACATTTTTAAGCCACACTTGATTTATAGTGTAGTATAGGTGCGGTTATGCACTTGTCATGGCAGGAAATGTTACTTACTTTTTGATTTCCTACTTTAGAGCTCCGGTAGTCTGTGGAGGTCTAACCTTTATATAGTTTCCTGGCCCAGATAAGGTTGATGAAGTGCTGCCATCTATCAATAAATAAATGGTAAACTTTTCGTTGTAGCTGAAATGGAGCTCCCTGAGGTTTGTGTTAGAGAAAGGCTGCCTCAGCTCCAAGACGCTTATTTTACCTTTCCTATGGAACAAATCTCAATACTGTGTCTTCTGGTTTTCTGCCCATCAGCTTTTAGTGTGGCCAAACAACATCCAGTTGGCTATAGAATTCTGGGTGATATTATATCAGAATATGATGGTGAGAGAAGGGCGTTGGCTTTTTAGTGCTCTCACTTATAAACATTTCTTGGCATATAAAAGGGAACTTGATAATGTTTTTCTAGTATGCCTGTTCTCATAATTAAGATGCTTGTTTTTAAATATAGAAAATTTCAGAGAATAATAACCTTGCATTGGCAATCTGAAAACGTACTTTACAGAATTCTGTTATTCTGGCCTCTATAATACATACAGTGGTTTCACTTTATGGAAGGTTGTTCAAAGTCTGCGGTTCTTGGAGCCCAGAGTAATTTTAGAAAATTAATGTCACAAGATGCTTCTCTCTATGTGTACCTGCCAAATCAGACAAAACATTCAACATGCTCCCTCCCAGAGTGGCTCATTGGGTCTTTCTGGAATCTTCAGAAATCTAAGTTTGTGTAGCATTTTAAAAAATAAGGCCATTTATAGGACTTGGATAATTTATAATGTAATTCTACCTTCTTTTCTGATGAGCAGGATGGAAATCAGAGTTCAGCAATGTGCCATAAAGAACCTGTGCTTGAAAAGAGCTACTCTCCGCCAATGGAAAAGCTACTGATGCTACCTGCCCCTACAGAGCTACAGGCTAAGAAGAGAACTTGTCTATCTAACATTCAATCAAATAAAACCAGAAGGACTCTATTTGAAGTCTCGGCAACCCATAGACAAGATGAATCTGAAGGTACAAGGTTTTCAGTTACCTTTTTGCAAAGCTAAATAGCCTTATTGCCATAGCATTCCATTGTCCAATTTTGACTCAACGTCATACCTTGTGAAGGTAGGTTTGGCTGGACAACAGTGATCCACCTTAGATTGCTCAGTCATTTTTCATGGCTGAAATTGCATTACTATCTTTTCAAACACTGGGTATCACCATGGAAGGATTTATTTGTGCAATATTCTAGTTCATGATACAGGGAGCGTGATGGTTCATGTGTTTAGTTCAGTGCTCTGCATCAAAAACTATGAATATAAATAGCTATTAAATTTATGCTAAATTATCCTGAACGTGCATTCTAAAACACATAAATCTAAAGTCTCGTAATACTGGTGTAAGAGACAGCTTGGTCCAGGTCATTATTTTTTGATTTTGGAAACTTTAAGATGTATGGACTTCATTTCCCAAAATTGCTAGCCAGCAAGGAGAATGCTGGAGTTTAAAGTCCATACATCTTAAAGTTCTCAAAGTTGAGAAATGCAAGTGTTAAAGTGCTGGGCAAGAAGCAAGGAGAACAAAATTCTAGTCCTGCCAGGACCAGTCATTCAGTCTCAGTCCAAATGAAGAAGGAAAGCAGTGTAAATTATTTCTGAAAATGATGCTTAGAAAACTGCATGGATTTATCTATACAGTCTCTAGGCATCAGGTGTTCATGTGGGTGGAACCCGGGCCTGGCCATACTCAACTTCAGGAAAATGGAGATTTAGTATTACCATAGTATTAAGATGCTTTTTTACTAAAATTTATTTCTGTCTATTTTCTGCAGATTTGGAGATTAAAGAGTTGCAAGGTAAAGAAGCTTTAAAAAAATCTTTTTTTATTTAACTTTGCTTGGTGTGACTAGATCAGTTGTGTTTAATATCCATCTTGTGTGAGTTATATATGGAATTGTAAAGATATTACATATTTATGGATGAGAAAGGTTTTCTGTTTGTCCTTTTCATCAAGTTTTCGGTCCTTTCTTCAGGAGGAAGAATAGTATAAAAATAGTTAAAACATTAAACTGCTGATTGCTTTACCCCTCAGGGGCAGCAAAGATGCAACACACAAGGACAGTCTTTTAAATCAATAATTTAAATTTGTGCTAATTTATTACAGAACCTTCAGAAAGAATCCTAAAAGAATTAGAAGGTGTTTTTCAGGGATACTGAGGACTACTTGTAGAAAGACACTAGATATACTTAGGAAGCTGTTTTTCATTTTTCAGAATGTTAAATTTTAATATATAATTAAATAACATAACAATATAATTAAACAGTTATAATAATATAGGGACGTAGTGGCTCAGTGGCTAAGACGCTGAGCTTGTCGATCAGAAAGGTTGGCAGTTGGGCGGTTCAAATCCCTAGCGCCGCGTAACGGAGTGAGCTCCCTTTACTTGTCCCAGCTTCTGCCAACCTAGCAGTTTGAAAGCACGTAAAAATGCAAGTAGAAAAATAGGGGGCAACTTTGGTGGGAAGGTAGCAGCGTTCCGTGTACCTTCCACATTTAGTCATGCCAGTCACATGACCACAGGAATGACTAGCACATATGTGCGAGAGGAACTTTCATCTTTACTTTAATAAAAATACAGTAACACAAAATATTAACAATGTATCGCTGATAAAATCTAAAAATGAAACTTACATTGATAGTGCCCGGATAAATCCTGGAAAGCTCTCAGGAAAAGCCAGGTCTTTCCAACTTTTTGAAAGACCATAAGAATTGGGATCACCAAGCTTTTGTGTCAGGAAATAGGAAGGGAACTTCTACTCCTCTCCCTCATGTCACATTTCTTGATAAGGAGAGTCCCTGGGCAGGCATTTTCTGACTGACTGGATCAGGCCAGCAGATTTGATCAGGAAAAAGTCATCCCTTTCACAGAAGAACAATAATTTGATACTGATATTTCAGTAAGAATGAGTAAAGAATAGCCATTTCATACAATTAGGATAGCATGCAAGTCTCTTTCATGCACTAAGCTTATACGAATAGGTTCCCCTGAATTATTCTTCCACAATGAAATGGTTTCTATGGTTTGGTTCTTTTGACTGACTCTACTTCTACTTGTTGTCTTTAGCATGTCCAAGTGCTCGATGGAATCATGCTATGTGCTTGTCTGACAGAGACACAGCAGTTTTGATTGGTGGTGAAGGATCTAATCAACAATTCTGCAAAGATGTTTTCTGGAAACTGGAGATTGGTGAGATACTTCTGTGCTTCTAATAATGATATGCCTTGTTGGCAAGTCACGGGAAGAAAACTTTCTAAATCTTCTAAATTGAAGGGGTCATTAGTTATCTTACAATTTGAGCTTAAAGTTACTGGAATCAACTTCCATTGAATAGCATTGAAAGAAAGGAAAGGTGGTTCTGAATTTCACAAATACAAGACTATGGGTCTTCTCTGTTTACTGTATGTCTTCTAATTCACAGATAATGACTTTTGGTTCCCTATGGATTTCCCAACACAAAATTTCATACCACAGTGTTCCCGAGGTCACAGTGCCACTTTTGACCCAGATACCAAGCGCATCTACATATTTGGGGGCATAAAAGAGGGGAGATGCTGCAACAGCATCTATGTTTTGGATACAACATCTTGGAAATGGCTTCATGTTTTTGTGAGTAGAAACCAAACAACGGGCACTGTAAAAGTGTAGTTTCATCTTGTTTTTTATGTGCCTATTTTTTGTTCTTGCAATCTTCTTACTCTTTTTTTGTAAGAAATAAGAGTTCAAATACAATGGCAAAAAGTGGAATAATTCATCGATGAGACAGAAAAGGGAAGTAAATAGAGCAGGTGAAATTTTTCTGACCTCCTCCTCCTCCTCCACCACCACCACCACCTCCACCACCACCACCTCCTCGTCCTCCTCCTCGTCCTCCTCCTCCTCGTCCTCCTCCTCCTCCTCCTCTTCTTCTTCTTCTTCTTCTTCTTCTTCTTCTTCTTCTGCCATATCCATCATTGGATGTTGGCGATCCTTTTTTATCAACAGCCGCATGAAAAAGTGCTGCTGAGTTTTGTCCAAACCAGCCCCTTAGATTTAGAAACTGGAGGGAGAGCACCCGCTGCTGCTGATGTTGTCAGATTGGCCTGCTGACTTGGGTTGTGATGAGATTTTTCTTTCTTCTCAGGCTAAAGGGAAAGTGCCCACTCTGGCCTTTCATACTGCAACTGTCTATCGCAAGGAATTATTTGTCTTTGGAGGAGCTTTCCCTAAAATGTTGTCCTTGGAGATGGGCGCCTGCAGTAATGCGCTTTTTATTTTCAACCCTGACTATGAGATTTGGTACCAACCTATTGTGGAGGGGGAGAAACCTCTGCCAAGGCTTGGGTGAGGCATCTTGTCTTGAACTCAGAGGACTCTGAAATAGACAAGATTTATTTCCTTGGTTTATTTCTCCACTTAAAAAGTGAAGCAGGAATATTTTTTTTCATGCACTTTTATTTTAGCTACCCTGTTTCCCTGAAAATAAGACCTCCCAGGATAATAAACCCAATTGGGCTTTTGAGCACATGAGCTAAAATAAGCCCTCCCCTGAAAATAAGACCTCCCCAAAAATATTGCAACACAGCAGCAGCCATGAGGTGACCATGCTCGCCGCCTCCTGCACCTCAAAAATAATAAGACCTTCCCGAAAATAAGGCCAAGAGCTTATTTCAGGGTCAAAAGAAAATAAGACCCTGTTTTATTTTTGGGGAAACACAATAGAAGTGCGTGTTTCTTTTTATATATATATATTATTGTATTACTGTATATTCCTTCCATAAGTTCAAAATCATACGGAGTGCCTTAGATATACTTATCATTTGAGTTTTTCTACAGAACTTATTTTAAATAATCATATGCACTTATGTACTTATTCTGATTTCTTTTTTGTATCCATTGCTTTCCCCCCCATCCCACTTATTATTGCTTAGTACTGCAAAGTTGTTATATCTCTTAGCAATAGCAGAAGGATTTCAAGTAAGATCCATTTGTCATGAATGGCAAGACACTTTCATTCATAATGGAAAGTTTGTGATTTCTCTGGTCCCCTTCTCTCCTCCTTTACTGGTACTTCCATTTAGAAATTTAGAAATGTCAGCAAACCAAAAATAGGATCACTAATACAACAAACACCATTGTGGACTCTTTAATATACTAGTTAGTGTCATTCCCAGTATCGGATTATCTTTCTGATAGGTTGTGTCTTTGATTTTTATTTTAAAGAAACATTCAAGAATCAACATGAATGGAATATAAAATGTTGGCTAGTTAATGCATTTCTCCTGTCAAGATGTCAAATAATAATGTATGAATAAGATTTCTACCTGTATGTTTGATTTGTACATTCTCTGCCCTTATCTCAAAGTCATTCAGCCACTTTGTTGAAGAACAAATTAGTCATATTTGGAGGCCAGAGGACTTCTACATACCTGAATGACACACACATCCTTGATCTAGGTAAGAAGGGCACAGTGCTTGCCTTCTTAAATGTCACCTGTATTTCGATAGGGTCAAGAACCCACCTTTATAGGCAGCTCAATTTGATGAAAACAAAAGATTAGCCTGAAATGGAAGCTGCCAACACATTAAAAAACCTTATAGAATAGTAAATGGAAGTGCCAAAAGTGCTTTTTCAAGAGGCAGCTGGACTTTGTTTTTTCTTTAAAGACATTTTGCTTCTCATCCAAGAAACTTATCCAAGACGTGGACACAGAGCTGAAGAAGCTTCTTGGGCGAGAAGTGAAATGTCTTCAAAGAAAAATCAGAAAGTCCAGCTGCCTCTTGAAAAAAACAAGAATATCCAAAGACAGAAAATGGGAGCAATTTCACTTCAGGGGAAAGGCAGTAAAAACGATCTGACAATAGCACTTATAGAACTGTAGGTCTTGTAACAGGATTGATGCCTAGGATAATGAAATAAAACTGCATCCTTGCACTATAATTCCTTTAAAGAGAAGAAGCTGCTTAATTTTATGGCAATACACACAGCAAAAAGGTATGGCAATGCTTAATTGCACTTTTTGTGGAACGGAATAATTCGGTTGTATTATACATGATGTATCGATGCATTCTGTGCCTATTTCACTTTTTGTGATTGCTGCTACAGTAGTGTCTAATCTATGCAAATATGAACTTTAGCTCGGTCTTTTTGAGGTGCTACAAAACTGTGAGACAGACTTTTTTGTGTGGGTCCAAAACATCTTCTAATTATTTTAATCTCATACTTCTAGGTTTTATGGAGTATAAAACAGTTCCATCTCTCTCTGGACAGCCTTCTGCTCGCAGGTCTGCTCGTGGTGTTACTGTATATGTACTCACTTTCATTAATAGGGCCGTGCTAGCAAATAAGTTTGAAACGGTTATATTTTTTTAATCAAATTTATATGGCCGCCCATCTTGGCATCTCTGGGTTTGGATAAAGGAATGAATTTTAAACTCTTACTCTTTGGAAGTTTGTCAATTTGTAAGGAAACTCAATCCTGAAGCATTTTTTAAGGAACTTTGTTGGTGCTGATCCTTCTATACATGCTGGTAAAAGATGCCTATATAAATATGGCTAGAATGAAATTTAAATAAAGTCTTAAACCTATTCCTCTATATAATTTGAGAACCTCACTAGACCCAAATCATCTCCCTTGAGGGGGGGGGGAGCATCTTCCCGGTTAGAAATACGAAATATAAATAAATAAAATAATGTGTTTTGATGGGTCATCTCAAATTGTGAGCATCTATTTAATGAACATTAGAATGTAGAGTGGAGCTGGGGGGGGGGAAATCACAACTAGTTACAACGGTTGTGGCATCCCTGTGGTCATGTGATCAAAATTCGGTTGGTTGGCAAAGGGCATGCATTTATAACAATTGCAGCATCCTCTGTGTGTCTGTGTGTCATACTTGCCATTTGCTACCTTCCCAGGGCATTCCCAGCAAGCAGTCAATGGAGGAAGCTATATCCACTTAACATAGATTCACTGGATTCTGTTAATGACTGCTGCAAAAATACTTGTAAAATCAGGTGCAACTCACGTAATGACTGCATCATTCAGCAATAGTTTCTTCCCAGTTATGATTGCAAGTCAAGCCAATTACTCCAGTCTAGTAGGATTTTTCATATAAAAGGATCGAGTTTCAGAGGATCTGGGGGTAAGCATTTAGTACTTTTGGAAAAAATAAAGGACTGGGCATACCTGACTAGAAAAGATCATAACTCCTAGGCATGCAGTGTAAATCTGATACATGTATAGAGGTAGTCCTTGACTTACAACAGTTCATTTAGTGACCATTGAAGGTTACAATGGCACAGAAAAAAGTGACTTATGACCATTTTTCACCCGACTTGCAACATGCCCACGGTCACTTCATCAAAATTCAGAAATTTGGCAATTGACTCATATTTATGACGGTTACAATATCCTGGGAACATGTGATCCTCTTTTGTGACCTTCTGACAAGCAAAGTCAATGGGAAAGCCAGATTCACTTAACAATCATTTTACTAATTTAACAACAGCAGTGATTCACTTAACAATCGGGGCAAGAAAGCTCGCAAAATGGGGCAAAACTGACTTAACAAATGTCTCACTTAGCAACAGAAGTTCTGGCCTCAATTATGGCCGTAAGTCAAGGACTGCCTATACCTTTGTGTTCAAGGCTTATCAATGCTAATTAGAAGTGGCTAATTTTCAGATGATCTATTTGGCTTCTAGTTTCCATGCTGCTATCCAAATCTCTGATCAAAAAATGTTGGTAAGTGGTGGCTGTAATGCCAAAGCTGCTTTTCAGGATGCATTTATCTTCCATTTAGGTAAGTTTTAAAATTCTGCCGTAAAACTGCCCCTTACCTCTAAAAACATGTGCCAGGGCTCATCCTTTTCTTTCCATTGCAGATACCTTGACTTGGAGTGCCATTAAGCATAGCGATCT